TTAAAATACATTTAAAATAAATCAGGAATTATAAATTTAAATTTTATGTGTACTAAAACAATATAATATTCTAACTCGTCATAACATAAGGTAAGGCTAATTCCATTGGACACCAAAACACAAAATTTGGTGTAGTTATATCTACAATAAAACATCAAAAATGACACCATCCCATGAAATATAGTGTAGGATGAGTAGTATTACACGAAATTTGGTGTAACACTATTAATCACACCAAATATTTATATACATATTTTATTTAATAGTAATTTCAACTATTATTTTTTTCAAATTTATGACTAAACATAAAATAATATATTATTTATATAAAGTTGTTTTTACATATTACAATATCTTTAATTTTATTTTCAAGTAAAAAATTACTACATATTTATTATCATTTATTTTAGTTTTCTTAAAATAAAATATTAAACTAATATATAATTAATAGCTTTGTAATATAATTTAAATATGATTAATATTTCATAATATTTTTAAACCAAAAATATAAATCTAATTAAATTTTATAATATAAAATTATAAAAATTAACAAACATAATATTAATGTGTGATAGAATAATTATTTTTCAATTAAAAATAATAAAAATATGAAATTTTAAAAATTAAAACATAGAATAATATATAATATTATTTTTGCAGTAATATTTGGTATTATGGTTGCAGATGACAAAAAGTATTTGACACTAAAATATCAAATATGGTGTAGTTTCAACACAAAATTTAATGTTATGGTGAGAGACTTAGAGTTGTCTAAGCATTTTACCTTTCGACGAATTGATGAGAACTTTTGATGTTTATTTATTTTGTTCGAACAGTTCTGTTTTCTTATGATCTTTATTTTTGTATGATGCATAAATTTTGATGTGTCTGTATTTATAGGTGAAACATTACCTCCTACATCAATATGTATTCGAATATGAGTTTTGACTAATAATTTCAATATTACCAAAAACGTTTTGGGTCAAAGATGTATCTTTATAAATATCAAAAATTCTTTAATATCAATCAATTATGTTTCTAATATATATATAGTAGTGTTTGACCCAAAAAAGGAAATTATTATAATAGTGTTTTAGATGACTACAGAGGACATGGGTCATCCCCACCTCATAATTATATTGCCATGCCTTTGGATAAACGAGAAGACCATGGTCTTCCGTAAGACAAGTGAAAGAAAGGTGGAGTCTACGGATCCTCTACTCGAGA